TTTTTTTTTTAAATACTTTTCTGTCATTGTGCATTCTGGTGGCAGTTTCTTTACTGAGCTCTTTTTCTATGCCTAATCTTTTATGAGTAGAACTAAAAATGCTGCACTTACTAAAATCATGTGCAGTGAAAGGTATAAATAGACTCTTAAATCTGAGATGCTCCCTTATGAGTAATATGTTTTAATGATTTCTGATTTGGTTTCCCAAGTCCCTTCCACTCTTGCTTATTACTAGGTAAGATTACTAAGATTATTTGCTAGATGATATTGTAGTAGTTTATATTGTTTTATTTTTTAGGCTATCTTTTGTCATTTAAGGTTAATATAGGGGTTTTTAATACAGAGGCCCATCATTAGGGTTTTTTAAGGGGCCATTTGAAACCCTAAAATTACATGCAGAATTCTTTTGGACAGCAGATCTACAAATGGTTAATAATGATTTATTCATTCAGTAAATATTAAGTATCTGTTTTGTACCAGGCACTGTATCTGTGCTGGAAATACTGCAGTGATAAAACCAGAACAATACCTCTGAAAGGAGACAAGGCTAAACAGTTATTTCTCTAGTTCTTTCTGATAATATAAACTTCTCTTTTTTTCTTTGCAGGAAAAACAAGAATGGTGGTGGCTTTATATTGCAGATAGGAAGGAACAGACGTTAATATCTATGCCGTATCATGTGTGTACACTAAAAGATACAGAAGAGGTAATTATCCAACAACATTATTTCAGTTTTTACAAATATATGGCATCTCACCATCATGCTGCTTCATAAAGTCTTCCTTAGAAATCAGTTTATCATATTTGGCTTATTGTATTTTATTTGTTAAGGCACATTTTGTAACTGTTCTCTGGTGTCTTTTGGGAGTAACTGATTGGAAATTTATACAGTATTGTTAAAGGTAGGCAACTCCTATCAGTCTTAAAAACTTGTTTTCAACTTATTTTGGGGAGTTTTCACTGTTAGTGTCTAAGAACATACGCCTTTTGCTTTCCTGTCCAGAATTTAATTATATTTTACAAAAATTTATGATTTTCATACTCATTGGATTAGTGCTAAGATAAATATCTTTGGTCTTAAAAACAAATTTAAGAACTGATAATTAGATTTTTAGAATGGAATTTTTGATTATGTGGCATTATTCATTGTTAATGTCATTACTAATATATCATAGTGATGAGTATATTTTATCCGTTTTTCTTGATTGTTTCATGCTACTTCTCTAGAAAAGTTCTTTCTGCCTGGATTTGGTAGACAAGAGCAAGGTTTTTTAGAATTTCAAGATAGTTCTGTGATAATTTTTTTTTTAAAGATTTTATTTATTTATTTGACAGAGAGAGACACGGCGAGAGAGGGAACACAAGCAGGGGGAGTGGGAGAGGGAGAAGCAGGCTTCCTGCAGAGCAGGGAGCACAATGCGGGGCTCGATCCCAGGACCCTGGGATCATGACCCAAGCCGAAGGCAGCCGCTTAATGACTGAGCCACACAGGCGCCCCTGTGATGTTGATTTTTTAATCCAAAAGTATTTTCCCCCCTTTATAACCAAGTAGTAAATGTGTGAAGTAGTTTGTTGTTATTTATTTGACACTTAAAGTTAGTGCTAACTTAAGGGTATTTCTTGGATAGAGCAGTTTTATTATTATTTTTTTAAAATTTAAGTTTTACCTATTTTTGAACAGATAATAAATTCACCTAGTTAATAATATTTCAGAAGATATACAAAAGTACACTCGTTGAAACATCCCTGTCTCTCAGTCACCCACTTTCCTTCCTGGAGGCCATCAATGTTATAAAATTTTTATGTAGTCTTCATGTGATACTGTATGTAAATTACAAGCAAATACACATGTGTATTTTCTCCAATATTACATATAAAATAGCATACACCTTTTTCTCTCAATGATATAACTTGGAATTTTTTCCAAGTTACTGCAGAAAAACCTTCCTCATTTGTTTTTACAAGCTGCATTATACTCTTTTGTGTGGTTGTTTATTTATTTAGCATTCTACAATTTAATGGACTTATAAATTATTTCTTTTGCTGCAGTGAATAACCTCATATGTCATTTTGCACATGTACAAACATTTATAGGATAAATTCATAGAGTTAAAATTAATGAATCAGACGCTGTGTATATTTGTAATTTTGGTAGGTATCGCTAGATATTTATTTCTCTATAGGGAGAATGAATGTTTAAGAATGCCCTTTCTCTCTCAGTATATCAGACATTTTGAATGTCACTGCTGATCAGAAAGGTGGAAAATGGCATCTTAGTGTTATTTTTTCCCCTCTCATCTTTTATTTTAAAAAGTTTCAGGGCGCCTGGGTGGCTCAGTCGTTAAGCGTC